CTGACGGAGCTTCGGCTGCGCCAGGCCTCGATGTCAAGAGACCTCGTTATGCTAACCGAGACCTGGTTGAATGAAGCGATCATTAATGCCGAAATCGCACTACGCAACGATCGACCAAGTAGAGGATGTGGAGCACTGCTTTATTATCACAGCGAACTACACACTGATCTCATCGATGACCCAGGGGTTCAGATTGTCGATGCGCTTTGGTGTCGTCTTCATCTAAGCCGTGTGGACGCGTGTTTGTTGGGTGTGGTGTATCGCCCTCCGTCGGCTACTGGAAACGGACAACCGCCTAGCCTCCACAATGAAGACCATTCTCTCGCAGTCGTACAGCCACATCCTCCTGGTTGGTGACTTCAGTGTTCATACCATAGAAACCCCAGCCTGTATCAACGAACACTTCAAAATGGAAGTACAGGAGATAATTAGTGGACTACCACTCTACAATCACATCACATCTCTCACACGAGATTCAGGACGGGAAACAAACCGGGTGTCCTGGATCTCGTATTCACCAATGAAGAGCTGATGATCGAAACGGTATCGATACAGAGTCCTTTAGGCCGTAGCGACCACGCAACCCTCATGTTCAAGTACATCTGTTATGCAGAGCATTACTCAGAAAACACCGAGGAGTGTCAGCTCATTACGGCGCTCTAATCAAACGTATAAATGCTACAAACTGGACATTTCTAGCAAAACGACCCCCCGATGTCGTCTGGTCTGAATTTGCTCACCAGTTGAACACGTTAGTAACTAGTGCTTCTAGGAAAAGACCTTCGCGAGCGAAGACAGTAAAATCATTCGTACGCAGCAGGACACGCAAGTGTATCGTTACAAATTTACTCTGGCGAAGCTACAAGGAGTCATCGAATGCCGAAACATGGGAAGCCTACACTATCCAAAGGAATCACTGCGTAAACCTGGTACGCGAAGACAAAATACAGCACCAACAGAATCCAGCTGAGAAATTTCTTTCTAACTCCAAGCTCCTGTACAGACATGTAAACAAGCTCCGCAAAGTGCAGCGAGAAATTCCTGCCTCACACACGTTATGTGGTCTCGTACAAACTGCAACCGACGCGGTCAACGCCCTAGGTCAACAATTCGCCCCGAACTTCCAAAGCACATCGCCGCATACACTATTCTCGATCGTTGTACCACCACCAGGACTAAGCCACATTGTGTTTATGAGTGCGGATGTTATGAAAAGGCGAACTGCCCTGCGCGAGCATACCTCTCCCGGCGTTGATAATATTCGTCCAAAAGCTTTGAAATTGGCTGCAGTAAATCTGGCGGACCCACTCTGCAAGTTCTTCCAACGATGCCTCGATGAGATGCAAGTGCCAACAATGTGGAAGCAGGGCATCGTCACTCCCATCCATAAAGGGGAAGTCGTACAGATCCGGCCAACTATCGCCCCATAACACTACTTTTGGTGCTCTCCAAAATCATGGAAGCGATTGTTGCCGAAGCGCTCATGAACTTCTGGAAGGAACGCAATATCAGAGCACAAGAACAACATGGATTTCGCAAGAACCGATCTTGCACTTCAAACTTGCTAGATCCAGCTGGACTGACCGTTGACAGCGGCATAGGTGTTGACGCAGTATATCTGGACTTCTCAAAGGCTTTCGACCGTCTGAACCACCGTATCCTCCTTCACAAGCTGCAGTGTTGTGGAATTGGTGACCCAATCCTCGGTTGGATAGCTAACTTCTTGCTTCAACGACATCTGAATGTAAGAGTTCGCGGCGTCATCTCTGACCCAATCGATGTTAAGTGCGGAGTGCCCCAGGGTTCAATACTTGGTCCACGACTATTCCTGATTTACATAAACGATCTCGCGACAGTAATCAGCTTCAACTCCTTAATCTTCGCTGATGATCTCAAGATATGGCAAGCCATTAGAACAAACAGTGCAAATACAGCACTTCAGGATGGTCTTGACAGGGGCTACGAATGGTCGACTCAGAACCTGCTTCAGTTCAACGTTACAAAGTGCAAGATGTTGAGCATATGCCATAAAGCCACTTGGGAATACAGACTGGGGGATCAAATATCGCAGCGCACTTCAACGGAATGCGATCTAGGCGTGATAGTGCAGGAAGATCTGGACTGTTCCCGTCAGGTCGAAAGGTAACCAAACCGTGGCCTTTTGCGGAGGGCATTCGGGCCCTTCGATCCTTCCACCTTTTCTCAGATGCTAAACGCCTACATTCGACCTCATTCTCAGTACGCCATCCACGCCTGGCAGCCATGGCAAAAGCAAGACCTTACCGCTCTTGAACTGCCACAACGAAGGGCGACCAAGAACGTAAAGAGTCTGTTTCATCTCCCTTACCGATTTAGGCTGAAAACCCTCAGGGTTTACAGTGGACAACATCGACGCCTGCGTGGCGACTTGATAACGACTTATATGATCCTGAGGAATCCAAATCATTCTTGCTGTCACCTACTAAAGCTGAATAGCAATACCACACTCAGAGAACACCATCTAAAGCTGGACACACAATACAGCCGATTGGAATGCCGCCGGAATTTATTTCCCTTCGTGTGTATCAACACTGGAACGCTCTTCCCACACACGTTGTGTCTTTCCCCACGCTAACGGTATTCAAAAGACGCCTGGATGATTCGCTTATCCACTTACATTACACTATATAATCAGAGATGTCTACATCAACCAAACGCGAACGGTGCTCATTCCCAGCTTTTGTGCTTCACTACTTACACACTGCCGTTGTGGAATATTGTTTCGGATATATTACAACTACATCCATCAATTACCTCAGTCCAAGAAAGCGGCGCACGAGTAAACGTTGTCATTTCTTTTGTTCTTAAGACATACCTTCCTCATATTACGCTACGGTAACAATTCATTACACATTCTAAAATGTTTATATGAATAAGGGGCACCTGAATCGCTAGACGCAGAAATTGACGATTTACACTTATGTTTACTTTTACTTCCACCATCCTACGGGACTTGCAAAGCAATCGCTTTTTTACCTGTAATATATCATTGTTCATTGTTGGAAGAGGGGGAAATTGACTTTTCACTTTGCGAAGGCTATGTGCTTGTACCAAAGCTTATGATTTGAAGTAAATCGTTCTGCTTAAGCCTGTTAATATGCTACTTTATCCTCGCGTACTAGGTGGGTATAGCGGACGCTATAGAGTTTCCAGGTATTCGGAGCGGTTTTGTTGGAAAACTACACCATGTTACGCATCACCATGTATTTGTGTTCTACTCCTCATAAACGACGCCGTTCCCGATGCTCCACTAACCAAGGTGTCAAATTTATTGACGAAAGGTTCTGACAATAGCGGGTCTTGCAATTATAACATCGTATTGTTTGTAAAATAGCACCGTAGTTCAACACTGACTTTGACTCCTCGATTGTCCGGATGTCGTATATCAGTGCCGATTCTTGGTCGGTCAGTGAATCCTTTTGGAGGCCACGGATCGGTGTACTGCGTGTTGTACAACTATTCTAAGTGCTTCTGAAGCATACAGTTCTGAACTCTAAGCATTAAACTATCTTGTATGACACCTGAAAAATGCCACTCGACCACATGCAATAGTTTATAGAGGTATGCAAAACATCGCATTGAGGGAAAGTCTAACATCGTCAAAATCCCTGCCAAATGTACCGTCAAATTATTCGTTTTGCCGACCATATCACGGGATGGTTAAAGTGCGGCTTCGCTTACAGTACGAAGCAAACGCTAGACAGAGCACACCGAACTTAGATAAATACATGTGCATAAAGAGTATGAGCCCGATAAAGTAGACGGTTCGCGCTAAACAGGCGTTATGTTGAAGCACACAGGAGTTTGAGTCAAGCAAAATTTCGGACCACCTTACTCATACGCTGTGCTCGACAGCTATGAGTGGTAATACGCCAGCAATGATAGCACTGAATCGGTCTGTTTGTGTAATCAAAAGGTTGTGGTCGCGGTAACTAATATTGTGTTGACCATGTTAATTGCAGCAAACACCATCTTCACTAATAATGAACGGAAGGTACGCAGTCTCAAGAGACCATTGGGACGTCTAAAGCCGCAATGCGTCTTGCTGGTGGGCCTAACATCGTCCTCGATGAAATAAAAAACGTGATGTAACTGCGGCCCAAATAAGTGAACCTATCGACCACCGATCAGCTTTTTCGGAACCAGGAACCGGCTGCATAACGGCGCAGTGGAGCGCCACATTGCGAAGACGCGAACTGTTAGGACCGTTTACAACTTTCTCAAAGTATTCGAATTTATGGACGTAGTTTTCCGCTGACCTACATGGCACCGCTTAATTAACGCCCCACGCGACTTAAAATGTTTCGATACACTGGTAGACCGGGGTTACGAATCAGCTGTTCATTGGTTCGCCGAGGTTGGCAGCCTGGTCGCAGACATTTCGCCACCACATGAGGTAGCATTGTCAGTGCAGTGGTACGCAGGGTGCAATCTTACCAGTGGCAAAACGTTTGCAAACAAAAAGCCAAGACAAACTCAGCGAACAAACGAACTGAACACCACGTGATCGGTACCACATGATCCACACGCAGACGTCAAAACAACACTTAACCTCAATCCATGAGCATGCGGCACGTCCAAGCAGGATGAAATCGTGAGCGATGGAGGAAGCAATTTATCCTACACCCACTCACAAAACGCATACTTATGTCGCGTCGATAGGCACCACACACGACCGGATAACTGACTTGCGCGAATTCATCCACCTTCTCGGGGCTCGCCGCCGTCGTGCGCAACCGCACCTGACCGGACATGGGCTCACAGCTATTATACAAGCATACACGTAAGTCCCTTTTGTGTACCATAGTTATCTGATTTTTGTAACTCATGGCAACCCTAAGACAGCGTTCAAAGTGTCATTAAGTAACAAAAACCCGATAATGCTGGCAATTAGTGAGGCGTTGTTAATTAAGGCCCACCAAGCTGTGCTACGTGCAAAGAAACTCTTGAGGCAATCAATTCGGTTGCCATGGTTTTTACTGTGACATTTTGATTAGTGTTGCTTATTTTTTCCATGCATATAATCCTTTGTGTGTTTCTGCTCGTATTGTGTTTGCGATTGAAGAGAACCATTGAAATGTTGACATATCGCAATCTCGGTCTTCTCTCTGCCTTGACGAAATGGCTGAAGGGGGACCCACTGTTTTGCTTACAAGCTTAGTTGATGCAGTTGAAAGTGGGTGACCGTAGTTCGAGGCGTCGGTATCCGGATCGTCGATTTATTGAACCAGCGGAAGGAAAATAAAATTGCGCGCAGAAATCACCACCAATCAATCACTAGTAGCACCGCAATCAAGACAAGTGTGCGATTTTCCACTAAAATCGATCATAAGAAAACATTGATGTAGGTGATAACTTGAATCGTTTGCTACGACGTCCTTTACACAAACAAAAATAAAAATGTGATTGGTTGGAAGCGGAGATCGAAAAAATTTACGCCGTTTGAAAAAAAAGCTGAGAACAAGTAGTCAGATACCGATTGAAGGCCGACAAATCCTGTACAAAATAATGGATACAAGTTACATGTAAAATGGCATCTTGTGGAAGGCCGGTGAAAAAAATATGGTACACAAGTTGGTCGAAACAAGTGGTAGACCAGAGCAAGCAATGTGGGTGTAATGGGCAACATAATGTGCGAGCTGATGAAGTGCAGCGGGAAGCTGCAACGATCTAGTTCGTTATTTACATTAGTATGTACAGTGGAACCAAGTGGAAGTCGTCAATGGCGACGACCGTGCTTTGAAGTCAGGTTTGGCGCGTTGTGACCAGATAAGGCCGTCAGAGACCCAAAAGTTCCACGGAATAGTTTCTCAAACTGGATTAAAGATGAAGTAGAAGTTAAGATGAAAAGCATAGCCACCGAGAAAGTAGTGTTGTTGAAAATAAACAATGGGTGAAACGTAAGGATGGGAAACTGTGCAAGTTAACAGTAAAACAAATTACCACGCGAGTCCAGTGCGCCACAAAAGCACTACATTCTCAGCCAGCCGTGTTGACATACAAAAACAAGTCGCGCACGCATATATAGTCGGTCAAAAGGAGTAAAGAAGTAAGTCCACCACAACTGACCAGGTGAATTCGGATAATTAAATGCAAGGGTCCAAACAAAACTATTTGTACAATCAAACAGGGACAAAGAGTTAAAAAACGGTGAGTTGCTGGAATCAACATAACCACTTATTGTGCGAAAAGAGGGGAAAATGTTCCGGTTAAGACACAGGGATTCAGGCTTAAACTTTAAACAGGTGGCGTTGCAAAATAACCTGGGAAAACTGAAATGGTTCGTCAAGTGCATATGATAAAACATCGCCAAGGATCTCTGTTGTCCACACCCATCCGAATACAATGGTACAATCACAGGAGGGTGCTTAAACTGAAGGAAGATATGCAGGATGACGATACTGAGCTTGCGGACATAGTGTAAACAATAAAGATTGAGTGGTTTGCTCTCACAAACAGACCCTGACAACCAGAAAAGAATGGGCCCAAGAAGGTAATGCAAACTGACAGATGTCCTGTTACAATTACTGAAGTTCACGGAAACCATACTACAAGACTTGCAAGCTGGCACAAGTAGGTGAAAGCAATGATTGTCTCAGGTCGATTATCGTTTGCTGACTTATGGAAAAAGTGATGCTTGGTTGTGTCTCTTGCTCCGGACTGGAACACATCTCTTTTGTGATTCAGCAATCACTCAACTGTATGCGCCGATCGTAAACAAGACAGTGATCCGGTGACAGTAATTCGACAGGGACCGCATCGGTGTGGTAATAGGAATTGTAACAGCAGAGGTGCAATCCCTGAGTTGGTAATCGCAAAAGATTGAGGCGGAGTACGCAAACTTATTGAAGATCAATTAGTGCATTGACAAAGCATTAAAGCCAGACTAGTGGTTGACAGCAAGCGAAAGTAACTAATGCCTAATCATCTTAACTGAGCATATTTATATGAGAATTAATGAGGATGGAACCAGTCAGTCGAGTACCTAGGTTACATTACTAGTGTTGGAAAGAGTGCAGGAAAACGTAGTATCGAAGTCCAATAAAGCCCAGCAAATATGAAATGAGTAGCACAAGCAAATGCGAATGATCCAAAAACGGGCCATGTGGATGGAGTTAAGAATACACGTTCTTGGAATAGTACACGAATTAGATCAAGTCCATTGGCATCGAGTCCAGAAATAAATAGATCTGACGAGAAAGAACGAAAGTTAAGTGGGTGGTTTCGCTCAGTAACGAAAGTAGTATCGAAAGAGGTGACACCACATGGCAAGAAAACGGATTGAGAAGAAGCATGGAACCCACAAAGTAGTGCCATCCTCGTCTTTTAGTCATTATATTCAAGTTGATGCAAGGAACTCAATGTTTCAAAAGGCAATACCGTTCTCATCAAAATACATTTTATAAATCATAAACCTAACAGTGACCAGACTTATTGAAACGCTACTCGATGGTTAAATGATACATCAGCATCCAAAACTAATAAAGAAACATCCGTCCGCAAGCAGCGGACAAAGTCGAATCCTGTATCGCCCATTCGCTAGTTAATCTGTGGTTTGACAAGGATTCAGTGCTGAGAAACGCCTATTAGAGTAACGCAAGAGATGCCTACGCTCTACGTGGATCCAGTTGCCCTGAATAGTAAAAGCCGACCGGTACCACTGCAAATGGAGAGCTACGAGCGCTTCCCTTCAGGCCCTAAGGCAATCGCACTTATACCGGTACCGAATGCTAACCGACGCTGCATATCGATCACCCCACACAGCTCATCTGAAACTGGAGTGTGCTGCACTCTGATATCGAAAAGGAAACGTGCTCAGCCTGCGATGGCATCCGCAATCTGGAAGCACGATGTGGTGCTTAGCACAGTCGTGTTTAACATCCCGATAACGTCTCCATTGAGACATTCAAGCAAACGGTCATCTCTATCTATGGAATCGAACCACGCTGAACCACGAACATACGCACATGCGTTTATTCAAAGTGAAGTGTGAGCTATCACAAACTGGATCGAGACACATTAGACATCATCATTAATGGTACGACAAACGGGTAGGGGTTTCGTTTGAAGGTCAGGGCAACAACCACTTTTGGAGGCATGAGAATAAGTACCCAATACGAACTGTTGATGTTTTCCTCAACATTTACACGTGACAGCCTTAAATCGTGGGCATCCATATTTCAAGGAACCCAATATAGCAATAGTGAAGCAACTGCTAGGTAGAAGGGTAACTAACTACTGGTACAGTGAAATATTGTACACAGGTGTTGCCGTCTACATTTACAGTCTGTTTTACGTAGCTCATGGGGAAGATCGCACAGCATGCGAATGTCAGGAAGTGTCCACTTCTGGCTCTCCATGTCACCCATCGGTTCGGTCATCTGCTACCAGAGGTACGTGCACATACTCAAAGAACAATTGATGCGCAACCTTTGATATTGACAGGTGACATCAATTAAGTCCCGCTTCCCACTGTCAAACATGCGATTTTCCAAACTGCTCGCATTGCTTTGCAAATGTCCAAGTATTCCAACGTTTGTACATACCCATGTGTAATCTGTTGTCACCATAAGCTATTTGACAAAGATCTGCATCGTAAGTCTCCGGGTGCAGTTATTTTGTGCTCATAAAACGATTGTCGCTATGCGCCGATTCCTTTCTGATGTAATATACTAATACACCGACGTACTATTCGCGTAGTACTTTTTACAATTTACTTCGTCTATACAACAGATTGGCCAAGTGCAATGCAACTTCTGAAGGCGTCTCTGCGCTTCCGCACTCAATCCGCTTAGTACGTGCCTTTTCATAAGCCCCGGTTAATTAAGTATGGCTGAGGAACAACTGGAACTATAACTACGCTCCCTCTCATTACTAACCTGCGGAGCGGAATATGAACTGTCGACATTGTGACAATCGCTAGTCGGTTATTTGTCGGGATTGTTCACTTGCCACAGAATTTCAAGGGAAATTTCTGTTCGAATGCATAATCCAATGTGGTCACACGAGGGACAATAGTTGAGCATTGTGTTCCAAATGTCAAACGTGACAATTTATGCGTACTGTAAGCGGCCAAGCGATGATAACCTTTTGATACAAATGTATTTATCGAACTGGAAACATACACAATATTTTGCCACCCTAGCATTGATTCGTAGCAAGCACACAAATCGCTCGGAAACACCGCGCGCACGACAATGACGAATGAGCTCATGAATGGACTGAACCAATATTCTGCGATGCACAGGCTCGCTAAGCGTCGTGCTACTTTGCATTGAGCAGCTGATCAAGCTGGGATTATGTAATCTACAACTCGATTCCAAGGAGCAGGAGGTAAATAGTCTAGTGAGTAGTACCGTGGAGCTTACATAGTGATGTGAATCACGACCGAATAATAATAATACGAAGGAAAAGATGCCGTAGCTCACCGTCTCAATATGTCACCGTACTAGACTCCACTAGAGAAGGTAGCAAGAATAGCATAGCATAGGTCATGATGAGTACAACCTCGTAATGGGCAACACGTGCACTAATCACGAAATACAACCGAGTTAAATGAGCTCAATAAACGTAGGTTAGGTGTGACTCATTCGTTCTAGACAGGTGCAGTAAAGATATCACATTGCACCAAGTCAGTAGTAAATCATTCTAGCATACAACTGTACCCAAGTGCGGGATATAGAATCAGGATGACACAAAAAATGACAGAGATGACGTAGGCAACTTTTCAAGTTAGCAGGAAAATGGTGCGATTAGGTCCACCGCACGCTATTCGTGTCCTGAGGAAAAACCAGAGCCCGTTATAATCGTCTGTTGTCCGAGGTGAGCGAGAATCAAGAGTGAGGTAGAACCACCATGCAGTACGTCGTGTTTTACTAGTTATTTCCTCTTGGTCATTCATTCTGACCGTTAGCATATCTCGGCCAATTCATCATTGTCTAGAATACTACCTATGCCAAAGTACTTCGATTTGGATGTCACAACGTATTGCTGCTGTTACGGAATCAACCTTGATGACTTGTCTGAATCTCAGTGCGTTTACCTGGAGGCGGCAGCAGTACAAAGGGGCGTAGAGAGCCACTTGAGATGGAATAAATTGACCTCATATTGCAACTCGCAATTTCACACGAGAAGAAATGTAGTAACATCCATCTGTCAAGTGGGAATGTATCGAGACACGAACAGGCGTTAGCGGGATTTGTACTTTAGCCGAGTCCCATTTACACTTCGAGCCAGCAGATAATGGTGTTACGCGAGTGAAAATGCCATCAGTCTGTCAGGCTGAAGTGTTGTGATTATAAGTGTTTCTAGATGGCGTCCACTTAGTCATTCAACGTGAGATATCAGTTGACATACCAAAGGTCCCTGGTTCCTGTTACAGTACAGTGCAGTGTTCCGAACAGGCATTTGTTCACACTTGTGTATGGACTACCACAAAATAGATGGAGAAACAATAACCCACATGAACCATAACACTACCTACGTGCATGAGTTTGGATTGAATGAAAGAACAACAACCATATTCCTCTGGTTTTGGAAAATCGTAGAATTATAAGTAACCAATGCGACTGTCAGTGGTTAGTTAGTGTTTGGATGTGGACTTAAACGGCAGCCTTAAGTTTAGTCAGAAGTGTGGATATCAACAATAGATTGAAACAGATATGGAAATACAGAAGCAAATGCCATCAGTATGGTTACCAGATAGAAGGATGTACAACTAAATGTACCGTAAAACACAGCTGACTTATGGTTTCTGTGTATTGTAGATGCTGTCTGCTATAACCGTCCGCAGACGATAATATCATGCATTTCCTG